TGAGAAGACCGCGTCCTCTAGCGACTTCCCCGCCGACAGCATATTCAACACGTACAAACAAAAGTGGCCACACACCACCGAGCCTCGCTGCTGTAATTCATCGGTGCTATATCGAATTTCAGGCTGTAAGTAGTTCACCATCTCGTCAGGCGGTGGCAATCCATAGGAGTCAAAGTAATACTTTACCGGCCCACGTTTATACCAGCAGGTCCAATGCGTTCCAGGACCTTCCCAGCTATCGTGATTCAAGATTCCACATTCGATGCGGCGCGGGCTGGGTGGTAGGGTATCTCGCATGAACAACCCTCTGAAACATGGGATTCCTAGGTCCTTGGTGGCTTTCACAAGGTCTACATTCGAAAGAGGTTTATTGGGAAGGGTTATGTTGTGCACACGTATGCTGCTCATTTATTTAATCCTAGCTTGCTGAAGTGTTGTAAAATCCTGTAATAATTTTTGGTAAATTCCGTCATCGCTAAGATCTTTTCAGCTTCTTGTTCTTTAATCTCTTCAGCCTTTCTCTTCTCCAAACGGTCTCTGAGTTTATCTTGTTTTTCATAGAGTTCCATCTTCTGGCGATATTCATTAATACATTCTTGACCCGAACCAGCATACCTGGTGAATTTTGTATAATTGTTGCATTTACTTTTACCCATTACTTTATTTATATGAATCAAAAGTGACCTTTAGATATCCTTTTCGATTTTGTAATGTCCATGGGCAAGAGTACTGATCCCATCCTCCAGAATATGTCGCTTGTCATCCTTGGCCGAGAGTGCTATTTTGTTGATTTCCTCGGTGTAGATCTGGTGAAGGCGGCTGCGGATGATGTTCATCGGCTTACATATTTCCAGCTGAGTGTCTAGGCATTGTTTGTACTCAGCAAAGGTGATGTTTTGTTTGATGACAGACTTTGTTACTCCTTTTGCTCTCTTGGTGGTAGTGTGGTCGTTCATCTTGTAGGAGTATAACTTTGCCCGGAGACCTACAAACTCTGTCATCACTTTACCACCACACTCGTCCTTAAACATTCCAACCACCTTTTTGTTTACACCGGTGGGAATGCCTGAAGGATGTTCGGTAGGGTAGCTGGAGGTATCGAATTTTTCTTGGACGTGTGGTGTAATGTCCTTGTAAAAGTCCTCGGTCTTAATCTCATAGGCCAAGCTGTCAATGTCGGTAAAGAGCAGCTGGGCGTTGTCACAGTACATCTTCCTGATGAAACCGTAGTGAAAGTCATACATCAGGGTCTTTGAGATGTCCAGAATGCAGGCTCCCAAATACACAGGCTTATCAAACTTAAGCTTGGTCTTTTTCATGTGGACGGCTGCTAAGTTGTTGGTAAAGACGACCCGACGATCGAAGTTGGCTTTGGCCACAAGCTTAAGTGCCTGCTTTTCACTATTGACCAGTTTGACGTCCACCCTCTTGCGGATGTTCTCCATGGTCTTTCCGAAAACTGAGACATTCATAAGTTTGAAAAAGTCTTTCCCAGAATCGGTCTTAGCTTTGGTGCGGAGAGCGGTGTTAAGATCGATGTAGTGTTTGAGCCATGGGGATTGTCTAAACCTGATAATCCGACGTGTTTTGGTGAGTTTCATGCCCATCGTCAGGTACATTTTGAGATTTCCGTAGTGGAGAGTATACTTTTCGCGCTTACCTAGGTGAGGCACTAGCTTTCGCACCTTATTTATCTCCACATTCTCTGGAGCTAGTGGATAGTCATTGTGGGCATCATGAAGCTTTTCGGGGTACTCCAAATCACACTCCACTATGGCACCATATTCATGGTCATCGGGGTACTCTAGGATCTCCTCAATCTCCTCTGGTTCTACCCACTCAAAGTCTCCCGTGGGCAGAGATTGTACCATCGCCCATCCGTAGAGGTTGTTGGCGTCAAGATAAGCCAAATACTCAGTTGGCTGGGAGCTATCAAAATTCTTCATGTAGGGATTGTTAGCCTTGCCATGTCGATGAGAGATCATGGCGACACCTCCTCTGGTTGCATTCTCAAACATCATCAGCATATCAGGGTCCGAGAGGAGTTCTAATCTCACTCCTGTACATTTTAGCATTGCATCGTAGGATAGTCCTGGAGATGTGAAATAGTGTGCAGGGTCAAGTTTATAGTTAGCCATACATATATTCCTGAAGTCCTCAAAAATATCCTCCAATATGGCTACATCACTTTCCAGGTATAGATTGTGGTAGTCCCGCAAAGTCTTACACCTAAATTCCTTAAACACCTGCTGAGCATGTGCATAGTCCTCGTCGCTGATGTGTGTGCCATAGAGTTTGCTGAAGAATTCCTCCTTGGGTGGTAGTTGTGTTTCCTCTAGCTTGGCAGGTCCATCCATGTAATCATAGGGCTATACTCCCTTCCTGATCATCAGTTCATATCGATCGCCAAAGCACTTCTTTATTGCCCCGAATTTGTTCCTTTGTAAGATTCCCTGCCAAGGTTTCCAGGGAGTTCGGTAGAAACCTGTATGAATCTATGAATCTCATCTCCAATGCTCCATCTACTTCTTTCGAGAAGCTGATGTATTTCTCATCGGTGTTAGGGATGCAGTTTATCTTACCTTCTCCAACTCCTAATTCGCTCACAAAAAGATGGGCGTCGTATCCACTCAAGTTGTGGAAAACAATGGGTACATGTCTTGGAAGTTGGAAGTCCAAGTTGCACTGGTTGTGTGCTGCGCCGCGATACTTACCTGTGAGGTGATCGTGGTCGCGAACCTTGTCACCAGCTAATTCACCACCGCAAATGTGACAGTTTGTGGTTGCTTCAAAAATCTCCTTATCAGCGTCGGTCATCTCTATAGGTTTGTTTTCCTTGTAAAGCTTAGCAATCTCCCTAACTTCCTGCTCCATGCACTGTACAAACTTTTTAGCTGCATCCTCTCCACAGTAGATGACTGAGTCTTTGTAATCACCGTGAGCATATTTCACCCTATAGCAAAAACCTGATGGTCGATGTTGTTGATATGCCTTTGTATAGGCCTGTGATGGATCTGGCTGGCAAGTGTCGACCTTCTCCGTAAAACACTCGAAATCCGCATAAATGATGAATGGAACCCTCATCAACTTTTTGTGGTTATGGAAGGCTATGTGGGTTCCTTCCTCTGGCATCTCGATCCTTACTGCATCCTTCTGACTGCAATACTCCATATGCTCATCCAGGATATCCTGTCTTGAGAAGTGAGACAAACACCTGCGGCAAAAGAACAGTTCATGACCATGCTCTGAGATTTGACAGCTCAAAAGTCGAGATAGGCTCTTAATCCAGCAATAGTGCTGCTTGCTCTCATTGGTCAGGAACAGAAGATCCACATGTCTCGAACCTGTATTCTTAGATATTCTGAGGGGATATATTTGGAGGTCCTCTTCTTCATCTTCACCCTTCTTTACACCGTCAAAGCCAAAGACGTTAATGTTTAGGTCGGTATTCTGCCTCTCAAATTTGTCAATGGCCTTTAGCGAGACTGGAAACTCAATGCCATCAAAATTGAACTCATCAGCCCACTTTTTGTACTGACCCACCCGTTTGGTACAGTTTTTGTCAACTTCTTCATGATGTAGGGCTGAAAGAATGGCCCAGCGTAAGCATTCCTGATCAGTATTCTGCACATTGATGATAGCTTTCTTTTGAGCGAGCGGTTTTGGCAATACTATGTAGGAACTGCCTTTGAGAGGTTTAAACTTGTTTAAGTGGATTTCTAGCTTTTCAATATGACCAAATGTCCACCCACTACCTTCACGCATGTATTTAGCCATATTTTCTTTGACCTTCTCGACCATAAATGCTATTTCCAACTCAAGGTCTGTGGATTCGGTGATGGTGGTAAGGGTTGATCTAAAGTGGGGAATGACGTAGATATTTTCTCCGGTCGCTGGGTTTGTTTTTACCATCTCCACCTGTAGTACTAATTGCACTTTTAGGGCCTTCTTTTTGGTGAGTGCATCTGAAATTGTGCTGGCGATAGTGCTTTGACTTACATTAAAAAACGTTAGCATATCATGCTGTTTCAAGGGTTCAATGGTGATTGTGCCCAATACACCTTTCAATGCATCGCGTCGGTTAACAATTTTGATTTCCTCTTCAACGGGGGCATTTTCAATGTTCTTTTTCACCAGTTCGGTCAGGTCAGCTCTCCCTAGTCGGGAATAGTTGGTAATTCCCCGTCTTTTAGCAATGGTTTTCAGCTCCTTCTTGGTAAAGACCTCTTCGCGGGTAAATTTGTGGGCGGTTTTGGTCTCAATTAACTTTACCAATTCACCCTTGGGTTTCCTACTGTATCCCTTAAGTCCCTCCTTCTTCGCGATTTCTCGGAGTTCTTTCATGGTGTTTTTCACTACGATTTTCCCTCCGACTGGGGTATCCTCCTGCTGGCGTGGTTCTTTGCTGTGTCTCCAGCAGAGTCCATCTTTCCCCGGTTTACTCTTGCAAAACTGTCCCTTCTTCCTTTTCAGTGGAGCACCACAAGTTTTGGGTTCTTCATTCTCTTTGAACTGATCCATATTCATATCAACACTATTGGATGCCATCTCTTTATTTATTCCAATTTGGGGAATGCTTCCTTCTAAGGTATTTGGGGCTGGTGTATCTCTGACATTTTGTGTAAAAGACATATTTGTATTTACCCTAGGATTACATCCTTCTAAGGTGTTTGGGTTTTGTGTAAAAGACATATTTGTATTTACCCTAGGATTACATCCTTCTAAGGTGTTTGGGTTTTGTGCTAAACTGAAAGACATTCTTGTTTTTACCCTTAGACTAATTGAAACGTATTGCGTTTGCATTTTATGTTTGGGGTTGGGGTTCCTATGCTGAATCTGTGCTTAAAATGGCAAGTGCCGCAGAATCGGCCTATTGACACTACTTGTCTAACATAATAAGTTGCGACATATCTTACTGTGTTTTTTTTTTAATTAACTTTTATATAAGACAAACTTGAAAATTTTACTTTATTTTCTTTAATAAATAAAGAGTTGTATACCTGTAAAAAAGAATCCAGCGGTTGCCATTTCGTCTGGCGACTGTGTCAAATGCGTTGGCCAATATTTAAACGAGTCCAGTCTAGATACTCGGATGGCGTATTTTGGATACTTTGGGTTTTCAACGCAAATCCCCATCATCAATTGTTCCACTGGGGCTTTGCTAGTTATATCTGTGGTAGTTATTTGACCTGAGGATTGGTGGTTTGGTGTGCTTGCATTTCTATTTGAAGTCTCTAAACCAGTTTGTGGAATATAATTCAAGCTGTTAACATCATTAGTCGAGTAATCATTTGGTATTTGGTTAGATTCTGTCCTGGTTATATCGGTATTAGACACATTGTCTGTGGTGTTGTTAAGACTTTGATTTATTCCAAGAGGATTAGTTTGTACACGTCCACCATAAGTATTTGAAACATTCCATCTGAAGTTATTTGAATTTTGATTAATTGTGTTTGCCTGAATTCTTTGAGTCTCTGTTCCACCATTATGCATATTTAAGCTCTGTCGAGGATCGTTACCATTAACCGGCAGTTTATTTTTGTCGTGCAATTTCTTGTTCCATTCAGTTCCTACGTAAGAAATATCACATGTACCAATACTTACTGTACCTTCTGATATATGTTGTGAATGTTCCATGTATTTAGAGCCGATATGTTTGATAAAATCACATAGCGGAGAAATTTGTTGGTGAATTTTTATTGGAGAATAATACGGTTTCCAATTTTTATGTATTATTTTGCATTTAAAGCAAATAACCTCATCGTCTTTTTCTAAATAATAGAAACCAGCTCCTGCAAGTTTGGTTGCATAAACACCAAGAATATTTGGAAATGTTGCAAAAGTTGACAATCTTGTGCCTTCATATTCCATAGGATCTCTTAATGATTTTGTATCATTTATGCAAACTGAGCGGTCATCTGGAGGAAAGAATGAACATTCCTGGAAGACATGCTGTTGTAACATTCTTATTAATGGATAGACAACGTCTTTACAGGTCTATATTTCCCTATAGGAAATCAAACTTTTGTTTTTGACATATATTGACATTAAAATCTTATGAATGTTTTGAAATCACTATCAATCAATAATACGTCAAAAAGACTAATAATTGAAAACTCCTGAAGCAGCGCTATAAAGAATTGTTCATGTATGTAGTGTTCGTCTTGATTCATTCCCGTTCACTTCATCTTTCACGATCAGTCAAAAATAAACTTTTCTATTGAGAAAAATACATGTTTGCATCTTCATCCGTATACGACGTATTCAAAAACATTCTAAAACATAATCGATTTTCATTAAAACATGTTTACATTTAATTAACATAACGGTACCAACATATTTGATAACGAAAAGGGTAATGGGTGACATCTTACAAATTTAACATATATTTTGTCAAAAAGAAATAACATATGTTGACGTTTTAATTGAAACACAAGATGCAAGGATACTATAAACACTTACATGTGATACTTTTCATGATGAAATGCAACTTGGATACATTTGTTACTGATGCAATGAGTATAAAAAGCAATATTGGGATCAGGTGTTATCATAATGCAAAGTATAAAAAAACAAAGATGTAATACGTGTTTGTAAAATGATAAAAAAGTGTTCAAGGACAACCTTCAGACAAGGTTAAATTATCACTAACAGTATCACATGATTGTCACGTATCTAGACCAGAATTTTCCTACTTTCCACTTTGTTAAATAGATCACACTAATAAAAGGGAAAAGAGACAATTATCCTCTAATAATAAACACAAGTAAATCTACTCTTTTCTTAATTATAATTGATCTTAATATGACTGCAAATTTCCTAATGATTAGTACTTTGAGTGTTTTAATTATGTTCACTTATATGACAAGAAAGATTTGTTATCATTATTATTATCATTATTGAACGATTTTTCCTCTATCACCCTGCTCATTATCTCCGTAATTCTTGAATCACGGTTTTGAGACGTGAGACGGCATTATCAACGACGTCTTAATGTCCGAGGAGAAGTTTTAGCGATGTCACAAGACGTTATCAAGCTTGATTTCGTCAAGCGTAATACTATCTAAGGGAGGGGAAAAGACCAGTAATAGAACGATAAACAGATTAACGGGTTTTCTACGTACAGATATCGTAAAATATCATCCGCTCGACACGATGTGAAGCTATTTTGGTAGTTCGATGCGCTCACTCGCCAAAAAGGGTTACAGTATGGCTCGCGGTTGATATTATATTTTACGATATCATTCTGAGAAAACCCGATAATATGTACTAATTCATATACCACTTGAACTGATATAATATTTGCCTTTTATTATAGGGAATATATATTTAAGGTATTGATAACAGAACTATATTCACAAAGTACCGATATCAGGTTGTCTGCATATTGATATCGTAAAATATCAGCTGCGAGTCACAATATGAAGCTTTTTGTCGAGTGAGCGCAGCGAACGAGATTAAAAAGGCTTCATATTGTGTCGAGCAGCTGATATTTTACAATATGAATATGCATACAACCAGATAATCGATTTATCGGGTTGTATTTGCGTATTTTGCATGATAGAAACAAGTGTTTTCTTTGTTTCACCAGCAAACCGGAAGATGACGTGATAAGTTCGGGTCAAACTTATCAACGTCGGTTCTTATATTATGACGTCAGTGATATGTCCGGGTCAAATTTATTAAGGCCGGGTTAACGTATTTGACGTCACAAAGCCGTGATATGCAATTTTATTAAGAGCTGAGCAGAGTGATACAGACAGAGGGACGACCGATAATTGCATATATTGGTTAATGACATTCGCAAGCCAACGAGTTATTAGAAATATATAAGTCAAAGTATAGGACAGCGAAGTTCCTTTGACCCCCTTTTACAGTCCGACATGACCGTGTCTGTAGTGACGTCTTCGATATCAATGAACGTAATCCATGAACAAGTTAGTTACGCCAGTTTCTAAAAAGGTATGGAGTGTTTCGCAGTATCATAAATAACGTCAACATGACTTCAGTATACCCGTATTTAATATGTTCTCCAATCCGGGACATGTTCCCAATTCTATATATTTCATTCTATCCAATAGATCCTAAACCACATCATGAGGCAACCTATTCGAACCGATATTTGTTACGTAATAATTTCAAGATGCCGTGAATATCGAATGAAAATAATAGCTTTGAACCGTAATGATGCGAAGTAATAACTGCTATATTATTACGTCAGAATTACCCTTTCAAAAATTAAATTAAATCTCCTAAATTCTTTCATAAATAAAAACACCGTTTTGGAAGCTTGGTTGCATCTATGTGTATTTATTCCTGTTATCAAAATACACGTCCTTATGTTTACCGTATTCCCATACATGTATTCATTCGAGTGTTCGCGTCTTTTAACAAATATTTACCATTGGTCCGAATTGGACCTTGAAAGTAGCAACTTATGTTGCACAATTCAAAAGTGGAAAAATATTTCTATGATATTTTATTGCAATTCGAAGTTTGGAAAAAAAACTTTTTTTGCAATCATTTGTATGGTGGCTATTTTCTAGTTTGTATTTGTAGATACATTTGTATTTCAACGGTGTTGCTTCCACTGTGTGATGATATGTGTTCAAAATTTTCTTTCTTTAGGTAAAATATTTTATGAGAACACTTAAATAAGGTTAGCTGCACACCTGGTGAACTCTTCCCATACATTCGTTTTATATATTAGGCTTATTGTTATTTTTCGGTTAATTATGTTTAATGATTAAGAACATAAAGGCATTTTATTAAACACATTGTATTATCCAACTTTGATGCTTAAACCCGCAACAATTTTGTTTTGCTACTTGAAGGGACGATTATTTCATTTTCTGGGGGTGGGGTGTGAAAAGGGGCAAAGGGGGGTGGACCAGGAGTGGGTGATGACGGCTTTTTCTGGATTGATCATGTATTTTCATCTGTTGCTAGGCATACTTATTTCACCTTTGAATACGTTTATATCCTGCATTTTACGTTGCAGAATAATTATTTTCGTCCTGTCTTGCGTAAAATTATTTATTTTCAGTTCTTCTAGGACAAGTTATTAATTTTCAACATCCTTCTCCCCCTCCGCCCCTTCCCTCCCTCCACTTTGGCATTGAGCGTTCCTGATAAAGGTAAATCCAGAAAAGCTCTTCTGACGCATACAATTTAAGTGTTATTTTCATTTTCAAGTACTGGGTCGATACTGCTGTTGCTGGACTAAAAGTATCGAGAGTAGCATCACCTCAGTAGTCAGTGATCTGGTACGGACATAATTTATAACATACCTTAAGCTTAATTCCTTATATTTCCGTTGATACATTTAAAAATTATTATGAAACTTAGGTTTCAACTTCCGCAAGACTTTCGATGGATTTTGCTACTATTTTTGGTCCACTGGTCATATAGCTCTTCACGTTTTTTCGGTATTTATACATCTTTGATTTTAAATTTTTCGGCTTCTACGTTTGTAATGAAGGTTAATCTAGAAAAGCGCTTAGCCATTGGACGTATACAATTATAAAGTGTTATTTCCAATTTATTTTCAACTACCAAAAGACAGACATTTCGATCACGTGTCATTTCAAAATCGGACAAAAGAGAGTTTTAAGGTTGAAAATAGCTGCTGCCTTATAAGCCAAAAACTATCTGATGGTGTATTTCGTCGGTCAGGCTGTGTAGATAGTATAAACGCGTACTAGCGTTTGTTATGGCGTTGGACGTTTCGAGAAAACCAAGTGTGCAAGATTGACCGGGTTTCTGACGTCGTTTTAGAGCCCGGCTTACAATATATGTACAACGTACCACCCTCAGGGACGTTCCTTTGGTTGACTGTTAAGGAATTTGTTGAGTGCAATAAAGTTTTATTGGTCAGCATTCACCTTTGACATGTGTCATAGTCAATTAATGTTACAAATCATATATAGCCACGCCTTACTCATTAACATATTTAATCCACGTTAATTCGTAAAAGGCGTGCTATATATATAACATATATCATGTAACTATATTATACATTTAACAAATATTTCCTTTAGTTTATCTCGAAATCAATCTTTCCTATGTCGGAAATGATATTATTATGTTTGTTATTAAATCATGGATTCCATTCGAATTCAGTAGCGTTATAACAATGATAACTCTCAAATGTCGGAACATAATATATTTAATAAACTTAAGCTTTCAACAACAAAAATTAAAATTAACAATTAAACGGAAGGTGGAAAAAAAACCTTATAAAGATTTGATTTAAAAATCAGTCTTAATATCTGCGAGAAAAAAAATTAATAAAATGTTTTTGTTAACATAAAGATTATCGATTTTTTTCCTACAAATACTTATTTATCTTATATTTTTATGGAACATGGAGATCTTTCATTTACAAAATATGAAGGAGTGAAACATATAGTAGAAATGAAA